AACTCACCAAACTTGGAATATAAGTCACACCTTGCAAAAAATTTTATAATCTATTGTCATCCTGAATTTCCACCACTAGGTGGCGCTATTATTATGGAAAGTGCGTTTTGGCTCATAACTCCCATATACTTTGTTGCACCTTCAAAAACCTTATATTCACGCGTTCAGTGAATTGAGCTGAATCTTGTGGTATAGGCCACGCCCATTTCCGCCTCCGTTTTTTTCCGCAAATTCGCAAAATGTTGCAAACCTACTTTTTCGAACTCCTCCCAGGCAATTTCTCCGATTGGCACGAAACTTTGCACACATCATTTGTGGACCCTCCCGACAAGAAGTTCTTAAAAAAAATTTGATATTCCAAAGGATACTGAAGTTATTAAATAACAACTTCCTGCAGATTTTGTTCTAAACAGGAAGAGCTGCATATCTCCATATTGGTGTATCGGAATGACATGAAACTCAGCTTACCACTTCCCCATGAGCCCCTGAGGCTCTGTGCAAAGTTTTGGGTGATGACCATGAGGTGGCGTTCTTTAAATTGAAGTATTTTATATCTCAACATCGGTTGGGCGGATTAACACGAAACTTGGTATAATTATTGTCAATGCCCTCCTGAGGTTATTTGACGAAGGTCTTATCTATCTTCCACTAGGTGGCGCTCTGGTGGCTGTTTAATTTAATATTTGGCACTGTGCCAACACCATAACACTCATGGAAATAAAATTGATAAGGGTGGTATAGACTGGCCCCTGTAACTCAAACACCAAAAATGACCAGCAGGTGGCACTATTTTCAATTCAAAAGCATTTTTGGCTTATAACTCCCACATAATATGTCGCACATTGTTAAACCTTCTATTTACGTGTTCTCTGAAATCAGCTGAATTGTGTGATGTAAGCCATTCGCCAAAATTGCCACAAATGAAAAACGTACTTTTTCGAACTCCTCCTAGGCGCTTTGACTGATTTGCACCAGACTTTGCATGAAGCATCTGTGGACCCTTCTGACAAAATGTTGTCAAAAGAATTTTGATCGTCCATAAAACGCCCAAAATATAAAACAACAAATTCCTGCACATGGTGTTCAAAACAGACAGTCTTTCATATCTTGACCAAATACAGTCCAATCACCACAACACTTTTGCTAATTGTGTTCCATGGCCCAATGAGGGATTGTGCAAAATTCGGTGCAAATC